AGAGCCCGGCAGGGCGGGCGGGGACCCGGCACTAGGCCCAGGCAGGACAGGGCCGGCCGCGCCGGAGGCGGACGGGCGGGCCAGGGGCGGGCCGAGGCGGGCCGGGCCGGGCCTCCCGCGCGTCTCCCGCCCCGCCGCGCCTCGCAGGCGGCTGCAGCGGCGCAGCGGGCGGTGCAGCTCCCAGAACCGGCGCGAATCCGCGCCCCCGCGCGGGACCCGGGTAGGTGTCCGGGCCCGGCCGGGTGGCGGGAGCCGGGGCCGCGGGGCCGACCGGGGACTGGGCAGCGCCCCTCGGCGGACGGGCTGGCGGCGCGCGGGCGCGCGTGGGCTGCAGCCCCGGCCGGAGGGCCGGGCGGACTCTCTTTGCCCCTGACCCGAGCTCCGCGCCCCGGGGAGGCTGGACCCCTGGGACGGCCCCGCGTGCGCCGGCCTCTCCGAGCCACCCTCGGCACCTGGTGTCCACGGCTGGGGCGAGGAGGGCGCCCCCCCCGCCGTGAGGCCACTGGGCCTGCCGCCCGCGCGACCCCGGGGACGGGGAGAGGCGGGCGCCAGCGCGGGGTCCCGGCGCCCGCAGCCCCGCGGCTCATGGCATCCGCGTCCCCAGGCGCCAGCGGCTTCCTCGGGACGCCTGAGTCGCTGGCGGGGCGCACGGTGACACCTGTCGCTGCAGAAATGAGGCGGGGCCGGGACGCGCAGGGTGAGGACAATGCACACTTGTGCTTTAGCGTGTTTACTAGCTGGATGTCCTGTGTCTGTGCGCACACGCTGGCAGAGGGGGCACAATGGCCTCGCCGCCCGCGCCCGCCCGCCCCGCGCCAGCCCGGCCGGAAGTTGACGGCGTCGCCTAGCAACGGCGATGGCGGAGCCGGGTGGCCAGGCGGGCGGGTAAGCGGGGCCGAGAGACGCCGTGTCCAGCGGCCGGGCCGCGCTCCTGGGTCGTACGCGCCGGGTGCCCGCGTCGCCCTCCGTAGCCCCTCTCTGCGCCCCTCGCCTCCACGCCCTCCCCGCCCGCTCCGTCCCTTCCTTCCCGCTTCCTGGGCCGTTCCCATCCTCCGGTTCCCCCCGCCGCCACCCTGCGTGCCCCTCTCCCTTCTCCCCTCCTGTCCCTTTGTCCTCTGTCACCCCCTCCCCTACTCCAAGCGCACGACTCCCTCTAAAACCGGGGACTCGCCGCCCTGTGGTAACCATGGCAACCTCTAGGCGGGTATCCCCCCCTGTGCTGGGGACCGCAGGGCCCGGCCCCGCGCCTCCCTCGGGGTGACCACGGAAGTCCCTGCAGCCACAGAGGATGGTTAGGTGAAGGTCACTTAACCAGGTGCCACCAGGCCTTGGCCTGCTCATGCTTTGTTTAAAAGGACAGAAGCGGTTTTAAAGAAGTTGACCTTTTCGCCTTAAACATTTGCATACACTTTCTTTAAAAAAAAAAAAAAAAAAAAGGTAGGTCTATGTGAATGTGCTGACATGGACAGACATCCAGGTTGCCTCAATTGAAAAGACTCAATGTAAAACAGTAGGTGTAGTATGACCTCTAATTTAGGGTTTGTGTGTGTGTGTTTAAATGCATAGAGAAAATGGAAAGAATGTAGCCCCAAATCTCATACTATTACTAGCGGCTGTCTTGGGAAAGAAAGGGAAGATCTTGCAGGGAACTACCCTGTCTGTGTCCACATATCTGCATTAGTTTGAGAAAGAAAATTAGCTTGCACTTTTAATTTTAAGAAATATTCTTAAAATGTGACTCAGCAAGGTCTTGTGCTACATAAATCACGGAGAAACTCACAAAGTCTCTAGAGCACTCGTTCTGATCTGCACCTTCTCCTACTTTGTTTCTTCTCCCCAGTTTTGTCCCAGACCCAAGAATAGTTGAGGTGGATTTTCTGGGGTGATCTCTTCCTGCTGTTCCTTTATTTTTTTCTATTTTCTTTTTCTTTTCTTTCTTTCTTTCTTTTTTTTTTTTTTTTTTTTTTTGAGTCAGAGTCTGACTCTGTTGCCCAGGCCAGAATGCTGTGGCGTCAGCCTAGCTCACAGCAACCCCAGACTCCTGGACTCAAGCGATCCTCCTGCCTCAGCCTCCCGAGTAGCTAGGACTACAGGCATGCGCCACCATGCCCGGCTAATTTTTTCTATATATATTAGTTGGCCAATTAATTTCTTTTTATTTATAGTAGAGACGGGGTCTCGCTCTTGCTCAGGCTGGTTTCAAACTCCTGACCTCGAGCGATCCACCCACCTTGGCCTCCCAGAGTTCTAGGATTACAGGCGTGAGCCACCATGCCCGGCCCCTGATGTTTTTTTAATGTTTCAATAACTGACTTTTCCATTTGTTCATGAAGCGCCTCTTTTGTGGCACCTGGGCCCCCTGGTCCTATGGTGAGTGGCCAACAGGACAAAGGCATGGCCCACGCCTGCGGGGGGCAGAGAAGTAACAGGATGTAAACTGGGGTGCAGAATCGGGGAGGGGACCAATGCCAAGAGAAAGAAAACCATGACCTGAAACTGTTCTCTTGTTTCTCTGAGACCAGGTCTGTCCCCAAAGGCGGGCCAGCCTCTGACGGAGAGGAGCAGCAGAACCAGGAGGAAGGCCACGGTGGCAGGGTAATATAAAGCTGGTGGTGCTGGGGGGTTGTTCTGGGGCTTGCATTTGCTAGAAGGTAAAGAGAATTAGGACTTGGTCAAATAAATCGTATGACGACCCTGTTCCCTTGCACTGGAACAAACCCAATTACGTTGCGGAGAAACTCATTTTCCTCCTACCCCACTCCCAAGCAATCAGTCAGAAACGCCGAAAAGACATCCAACTCCCGGGTTGCCCTGAGCGTTCAGAACTCGTGTCTTGCAACGCAGGGTGCAACACGATTATGAAAACCAGAGAGAACAGAGAAACGAAAGCATGCGACACGATCTCTCACGTGCAAACGCAGCTTGCCCACCAGTATAATCAGCCCCGAACGAAGAACGCCCCACAAGGCCCTTCTCACTTTGTGTCCTGGTTTTCTTTCCTCTGCCACGCCACTGCAGGTGTCAGAGAAGGACCATGGCCAGGGAGGTGGACAAGCCTCGGGGGAAGCTGCAGAACATCCTGAGAGGGAAGGCACGACTGAAGGAGAAGCTGCACTTGCAGGGGACCCCGAATTTGAAGAGGAGTCTGAATATGAAGGGGAGTCTGAATATGAGGAATTCGTGATAGAAGAGTATGAATTTGAGTTAGAAACCATCTCCCCTGAAGTGCAGGTCAGCTCCGTGGATCTGGCTTATTCCCAAGGCAGCCCGCAGGAGCCGCAGGGAGGGGAGGCGCCCAGCCCATCAGGGTCACCCCAGGAAGTCCCGGGCTCCCCTGAGCAAATAAGCCGGGAAGCTTCTGGAGCCTCAGTGAGCAGATCGGTGAGTGGCCCCGACTTCCATTTTGTGCAGGTGCCGCACTGCCCACCTGGTTTGTCCCCTGTGTGAGGAGCCGGGGGATACACTGGAAGTGCACATTGCAATCCCTGTTAGGAGTTTCTTCACTAACTCAGGTCTCAGGGTCCGCTATCAAATGTCGAGAGATCCCAGACTCCTCTTCGGTGTCCCCCAACCCAAGGTTGGTGACGTTCCATAGCCACCCTCCATGCTCCCGCATGCAGGCCTCCAGTCTTCCGGGGCAGTGTGGTCCGATACGGAGCATCAGTGCATCAGTCACTTGTGACGACAGAGCACTTGACAGGTGGCTAGTGAGCCGGAGGTGCTGTGCTTTCGGTTTTTTAAGATCCTAACGAATTTACACTTAAGTGGCCACCTGTTGCTAGTGGCTACCATATGGGACAGTGCAGTTCCAGATAGTAACAATGACAGTAGTTACATTCTTATGTATTTTTTATTTTCAAAAATGTTTTAGCCGGGGGTGGTGGCACGAACCTGTAGTCCCAGCTACTAGGGACGCTGAGGCAGGAGGATCGCTTGAGCCCAGGAGTTCGAGACCAGCCTGTGTAATACAGTGAGACCACAGACACTGTCTCAAAAAAGTTTCTTGGTTTTTTTGGCGGGGCGCAGTGGCTCTCGCCTATCATCCTAGCACTCTGGAAGGCCAAGGCAGGAGGATCGCTTGAGCTCCAGGTTCAAGATCAGCCTGAGCAAGAGCGAGACCCCGTCTCTATTAAAAATAGAAAAAATTAGCCGGGCATGGTGGCGCATGCCTGTAGTCCCAGCTACTCGGGAGGCTGAAGCAGGAGGATTGCGTGAGCCCAGGAGTTTGAGGTTGCTGTGAGCTAGGCTGACACCACTGCACTTTAACCAGGGCAACAGAGTGAGGCTCTACCTCAGGAAAAAAAAAAACAACAAAAAAAAAACGATTTAAGAACAACAAAAACCTGAACAGTGTCTTCACCTTTGTATAGGTGAAGTATAGGTCACTTGCTGAGCTGTAAACCCAATTTGAATTCTTGGGTCCAGTTTCTAGAAAATTCACCAGGAAGCAGTTTCCAAACACGATCAACCAGGAGGCAGGGACAAACACTGGCTCTCAGTGTTCCGAAGGGATGGGGACGGTGAGAGCGGGAACCGTGCCCGGCGTGTGTGCGGACACCTCCCCAGCCCCTCACCAGGAGAAGCCTGCCCTGGACACTTGGGGGTGGGGGTGGGGCTCTGGCTCCGGGTCTCTGTTAATGTCATTATGATTCCGGATGCCTCAGAAGTCATTTCTAGAGCCACCATCACCTGAGGAAGGACAGTTAGAAAGAGCATGGGCTGGAGGTGGAGGAGCCTGGCACCGAGCCTACCCTGCTGACTGTGCAAACCCGGGCAAGCTCTTCCGCTCCTCCTGCAGGTGACAGAATGACTGACAGCCCACTTGTGGGGCTGAGGTGAGGGCAGCACGGGATGATGGTTGTAAAGGCTCCTTGTGAGTAGTGAGGCACTGTCCCGTCTGTTGTTACTAACAGTCACCACTTCTTCTTCAGCAATAACTATCGTCCACAATAATGACTGCAGGAGCCTCTTTCAAAGCTGAAATGGAGCCAGGTGTTTTTATATTTCCTTATTGAAATTTCCCTAAAGGGGGATGGTTTGAAAGAAGAGAAGAAGAAACAGTCTTCTAGGGAGAGCCTTGCCCAGAGCTGAGGCTTTCCAGCATGCTTTTTTTTTTTTTTTTTTTTGAGATAGAGTCTCACTTTGTAGCCCAGGCTAGAGTGCCGTGGCGTCAGCCTGGCTCACAGCAACCTCAAACTCCTGGGCTCAAGCGATCCTCCTGCCTCAGCCTCCCCAGTAGCTGGGACCACAGGCATGCGCCACCATGCCCGGCTAATTTTTTCTATATATATTTTTAGTTGGCCAATGAATTTCTTTCTATTTTTAGTAGAGACGGGGCCTCGCTCTTGCTCAGGCTGGTTTCGAACTCCTGACCTTGAGCGATCCTCCCACCTCGGCCTCCCAGAGTGCTAGGATTACAGGCGTAAGCCACCACGCCCGGCCCCCAGCATGCTTCTATAAGATGCCCAGAGACATTGTTTCCCATCCTCTAGATCAGCATTCAGTATCTAGCACTCACCGCGCCTCAGTAGTCCACTTAGCTGCAGATCCGGACAGGCAGAAGCCACTCCTAGATTCCCAGCGGGGAGGGCTAGAAGGGCGGGGGACCTGCAGCCTTGGGGCCACATGTGGCCTTTTGACCGAATCCAAGTTTTACAGAACAAATCCTTTTCTTCTGTGAAGTTTGGATTTGGTCAGGGGGGACACACTTGGGGACCCGGAGGGGCCACAGGTGGCTCCACTCCGTGCCGGGGATGTTTTCTATTTTGGCCATGTGCAAAAGCCAAATAATCTTTACATCCAAATGGTTTTCTGTGACTTGAACACCTACGTTGAATCTTGAACAATTTATCAACCTAAATAACAGACAGAAAAGAGTCTCTCTCAAAGAAAATGACATTTATTCAGGGGTGGGGCACTGCAACGGGAATACAACATGTGCCATGGTAAACTACGTTCACATGCAGGAGGTGAAGGAAGACGGAGGCTTTTAAAGGAAAAATGAGGAGGATTCCTCAATTGTTTTGAGATAGCTATCCTTGGCTGCAAGGGTGGTGCCAGCCAAGGCTGGAGAGCCAGTTGCTGGGCAGACGTCCTCGCACAAGTTATTTCTTGTATAAGGTTATGATGGCTTTTGCAGAAGGATGTGGTTTTTGCAGAGTCTTTTGCGATAGTTTTTGTCATGAGAACCCTCCTTCTGTGGCCTTCCCTGGCTATGTTTTTCGGGGTTCTTTTTTTTTTTAATGTGAATAACTCCATTCGGATTCTGAAAACTTTCACAAATGTAAGGACTGGAAACTGAGTAAGTTCTCAGCGGTGAGTAGACCCTCACTGGCTCCGTCCCGGCTGTTCTTGCCATAGGCAAAATCCCCAAAAAAGTCGCAGCAGAAGGTCTTTCCCATGGGGTCGCGACACCGCTTGAGGCTGAGCCGTGGGAGCAGCAACGTGTCCTCAGACATGGATGAGCCTTTCCTGGGCATGGAGGAGCAGGAGCCAGGTACCGCCAGACCCCCGGGGCGGGCCTGCCCCACGGGATACGCCGCTCGGCGTGCGCTGTGCTGTGCAAGCCGTGCCGCTCGTTTGTTCCGTGTATGGCTGTGAGCCTGAAGATAGAAACATCGTTTAGCTGGGTGCGGTGGCGCACGCCCGTAATCCCGGCACTTTGGGAGACCAAGGCAGGAGGGTCGCCTGAGCCCAGGAATTCTAGACCAGCTGGGCAACACAGCAAGACCCCACCTCTACAAAAAAATTTTAAAAGTAGCCAAGCTTGGTACTATATGCCTATAGTCCCAGCTACTTAGGAGGCTGAGGCAGGAGGATCACTTGAGCCCAGGAGTTTGAGGTTGCAGTAAGTTACGATGGCACCACTCCAGTCCAGCCTGACAGAGGGAGACCCTGTCTCAAAAAATATATGTATGTTGGCCAGGCGCGGTGGCTCACGCCTGTAAACCTAACATTTCTAGGAGGCAGAGGCGGGCAGATGGCTCAAGGTCAGGAGTTCGAAACAGTCTGAGCAAGAGCAGACCCGTCTCTAAAAAAAATAGAAAGAAATTAATTGGCAACTAAAAATACATAGAAAAATTAGCCGGGCATGGTGGCGCATGCCTGTTGTCAGCGACTCGGGAGGCTGAGGCAGGAAGGATGCTTGAGCCAGGAGTTTGAGTTGCTGTGAGCTAGGCTGATGCGATGGCACTCTAGCCTGGGCAACAGAGTGAGACTCTGAGTCAAAACAAACCAACAAGCAAGCAAACAAACAATATATATATAATATGTATATTATTATATTAAATTATTATTATAATATATAATATATATTATTAACAGGTATGGATATGGACAGATTATTAACAGATATGGATAACATTTATTGAGCATTTACTGTTTTGTTTTGTTCAATCTTTAACCGGACCAAGTAGGAACCATTCTCCGTTTTACAGAGAGGCACGCTCAGAGCAGCAGTAAGCGACTTACCCGAGTAAATGCCAGCATAGGCCCTTCACCCACCGTGGCGCGCAGGCGGGCCACGCCTGCGGCTCAGAAGGAGGACGGGTGTGCGCACCCGCTAAGAGCGCCTCTGTCAGCTGGGTTGGGTTTCAAAGGCTCTCCTGGGACCCCCCTCTTTGCACTCGGCTCGGGTACCCCGTTCCGCGCACGGCGGGCACGTGGGTGCCATGCCTGACGCACTATGCCACACCGCCGGCAAACCCGCGTTGTTCGTAAAGTGCGTGAAAAACGCGTGCATTCGAACGGGATCTCTCAACTCGGAAAAGGCGACCCCAACAAAGAAAAAAAAAAAAAAACTCACAAAGTGTCATTTGTTATAATGTCATTGATTATCGGCTGTTTCCCTAAAAAAAAAAAAATCAAACCTGGTCCATCGGTAAGCGACCTCCTTTCCATTCACTCTGTGTATAGAGAAGCTCCACAGAGTAAGTTTCCTTCTTTGAAATGTAACCCTCGCTGTGGAGTGTGTCCGTCCAACCACAGAGGTTGCTGTGAGGGACATTTCTGAACCCGAGCCACTGGGGTGCCTCTCTCTCTGTCCCGCTGCCTGAGGCGGGTGACGCCCCCAGTGGGACTGCTGAGCATGCCTCTGCAGCTGCCCAGCGTTCTGCGTCCTCCCAGCGAGCCCTCCCAGCAGAGCCTCCCCAGCAGTGGCTCGCCACAGTGCCCTCCAGCAGTGCCCTCCCCAGCAGTGCCTCCCAGCAGTGCCTCCCCCAGCAGTGCTCCCAGCAGTGCCTCCCAGCAAGTGGTCCTCCCAGCAGTGCCTCCCAGCAGTGCCATCCCACAGTGCCCTCCCCGCAGCGTGCCCTCCGCAGTGCCCTCCCAGCAGTGCTCCCCAGCAGTGCCTCCACAGTGTCCTCCCCAGCAGTTCCCAGCAGTGCCTCCCCAGCAGAGCGTCTCACCGTGCCCTCACTCACCGGTGCCTCCCCAGCATGTCCTCCCAGCAGTTGCCCCCTAAAAACCGGTGCCCCTCCCAGCAGTGCCTCAGAAGTGTCCTCCCACAGTGACCCTCCTCACCGTGCCTCCCCAGCAGTGCCCCTCCCTCCACCGGTGCCCTCCCAGCAGTGCCCCTCCCTCCACGGTGCTCAGCAGTCCTCCCGCAGAGCCGACCAAGCGACGGACGGGCCACCGCCTTCTGGACCGCCTTCCAGCAAGTTAAGCGGATGGGCCAGCTCCTTAGGCACACACGCACGCGCACGCGGCGAGCGACGAGGCTGAGGAGGAAGCATCCCAGCTGGTGGTGTTGCACCACAGTAAGGAGACTTCTTGTGCCCTCACCGCCGCGCTCACGCACGCGGCCACCCTGAGCTCCGATGCGGTCTGTCTCCACTGCTCTCGCCATCGCGCGCGCTGCTGCGCGCGTGCTCTGCGCTTCAGGCGCAACGCACATCGGCTGCTCGCCGCGACACTGGGCCCATCTTCTTCTGGGCACGAGCGGCGGCCTGCTGGCCTGACGAGGCTCAGCGCCCAGGCCTCGCACAGCATACGGGGCAGCGCTCCTCAGCGCACACATCACTATCGTCTCCACATTGCAGTCTTGGGGGTGGGGTGGGAATACGCACGCACAACTCACACCCTCGCTCGACGCTCACCCGAGTAACAGCCCGCTGGATCCTCGCACTCTCGGCGCGCGAACAGGCGAACGCAGTGGGAAGCTGTGGCTCGGGCAGCTGCAAGGGAGGACGCAGGCCTGCCCGAAAGTCTCGCGCGCCACACGCTCAGGCAGGCGCGTCCACCCACTGGACCCCCGCGTAACGGGGCTGACCTGGGCTGACATGCGGCTCGCCCGGCGTTCCGCCCAAACCCGCACTCAGTTGCGCAGTGCCTGGGGCGAGACCCGGAGGTGGCTTCGGGCTGTGGCTGCCCCACTGAGACCCAGGCAGGAGCGCCGCGGGGGCGCTCAGCCCGGCGGGCGGGAACGTAACCGGTGTGCTTCTCCACCTCCAGCCCCTGATGGTCAGATTCCAGGCCACCCTGAAGAGCTACCTTAACCGACAGATAGAAAAGCTGAAGCTGGAACTTCAAGAGCTGGTGAGTCCCTGTCCAGCCTCCGGCCCAGCGGGCAGGCGCCTGCGTCCCTTGACCCGGCTCCTCCCTCCCGCGCAGGGCGTGGCCAACAAGCAAAGCCGGACGCAGCGGCAGGAGCTGGGGGTGAACCTCTACGGGGTCCAGCAGCAGCTGGCCCGCCTGCAGATGCAGCTGGAGAAGAGCCACGACCGCCACTTGGTGGCCGCGTGCCAGAGGAGGCAGAAGGAGGAGGAGCTGCAGGGCGTGCGCGCGCTCCACGCCAAGACCTCCGAGGCCGCCAACCAGGAGCGCAAGAAGCGTAAGGCGGCTCCGCGTCCCGGCGCGGGGCGCCCCCACGCACCACCGAGTCCCCGAGGGGTGTCCCCATGGGGGGGGGTCCCACGTGCCTTAGAGACCTCCAGGGGCGTCCCCACAAGGTGTCCCCACGTGCCATCGCGGGGCATCGAGAAAAGCAAGGTGCGTGCGTCCCGCAGGGACTCCCACCCTTTGTAGGTAGGGAAGGCGCGTACATATCTTAAAAGGCACAGAAGTGGGCACAAGGGCAAACGCTGACACCGCCCGCCCGCGGTCGGTACAGAGACTCCCGGGAGGGGAAGGGGGAGGGGAGAGGGAGGGCGAGTCAGGCATGCGCGGTAGGGTGGAGGCGAAGCCCTTCTGAGAGCGCAGAGGCTGCGCTGAGGCAGAGCCCCCGCCCGGAGTCGGGCAGCCGGGGTCCCAGAGCAGACTGATGGGAAATCGGGCAGCTCTGGAGTGAGACGCTCCCTGCGACGTGGCGACCACGGAGTCGAGGATGCCGGACAGCCGACGGCGGCTTCCTCCCGGCTACCGATGGCTTCGGTTTTTACCCTTTGATGTTTCCAACTTTCATGACGGACTCCATTGCTGTCCTAGTGGGGAAGTGGTCTCAGGAATCTGGAAGGAAACGCAGTCACATATATATATATCCCAACCGCTCTGGAGAGAATACTGTGGACCCCCAGACGTGCAGGAGAGGTTTCTGGAACCTTTGCAGTTAGGGCGAGTGGGCATTGATCAAGAACCTCTGTCCAGGCGGGCGCGGTGGCTCACGCCTGTGGTCCTAGCCCTCTGGGAGGCCGAAGCGGGAGGATCGCTCAAGGTCAGGAGTTGGAAACCAGCTTGAGCAAGAGCGAGACCCATCTTTACTATAAATAGAAAGAAATTAATTGGCCAACTAATATATATAGAAAAAATTAGCCGAGCATGGTGGCACATGCCTGTAGTCTCAGCTACTCGGGAGGCTGAGGCAGGAGGATGGCTTGAGCCCAGGAGTTTGAGGTTGCTGTGAGCCAGGCTGACGCCACGGCACTCACTCTAGCCTGGGCAACAAAGCGAGACTCTGTCTCAAAAAAAAACAAAAAAAACCTCTCTCCAGCTACCACCGAATTAACAGGAAACTCCAAAAAAGGAAGAACATGAAACCACACTGACACCAAGTCTGCATTCTCCAGATACAGTAGAATCTCCACCGACCGGAAGGAGGACACGCACCCCGGCCCCTCCACACCAGCAGAGCCAGAGCAGAGTGCCTGCCAGCGCCCCTCCGCTGGGTGCAAAGAGTAGATGGGCGTCTAGAAAGATCCAAACACCCTTGAGGACGTTGGGTGCTTCCCTGAGATCAGCAGAGTGCAGCAGCAGCAGCCCTGCACCCACGGCTCGGTGACCCCAGGGCTGCTGCCACCACGCCGTCCCTTAAGGGAGACACAGGCCCTGGAGAAGGCCCACCCCACCTGCCTCATCTGGGAAGCCCCCACCGGTGCCTGAAGCTTCACATCAAAGTGGGGGTCACCGGGGCGATCCCCAAAGACAGGAGGGGACAGGGCTCCCCAGACAGGGCTCCTTCAGCCCTGATTTTTGCAAAGACAGCCGGCGCGGCCCTCGCCGGTGGTATTCCGCGTGAGGTTTCAGAGGGCACGCATCAGCCGGCGAGAACTGCGTGTTAGGAAAAGGCACAACTGAAACTAAAACATGCATTCAGCGTCGCCAAGAAAGGCACGGAATAGACAAAGGAAGGGTGCCGAAAACTGAATCTGTGAACTAAAGGCGCGATTCGGGACATCTTCCCCGAGCATGGAGCCTCACCCAGGACGACGGACACCATGAGAAGGGCATAAAGGACGTGCAGGGCAGACGGGCAAACCCGTGTCCCCTTTCAGGAGACCGGAGGCAACAGCCAGGGACGGCGGAACAGCTGCGCGACTTCCGGAAAGACAAACCTTCAGACGTGCAAACTCGCGGAGGGCCGGCAGCCCGGAGGAAAGACAGACGCGCCTAGACACAGCCGGCGGAACGCTCGAATTCCAGAGATAGAGGAAGAGGATGCTGCAGGCGTCCAGGCAGGACAAACCCGGACGGCCGTCGAGGACAGACCCTGGGCTGCCCCTTGGAGGAGCCCAGCCCAGACTCCGGGTGGATCTGTTCTGGGAAGGACCAGGCAGCGTCTGTTTCTTGTTTTTTTTTTTTTTTTAAAAGCTTCCAGATCATTCTAGTGTGCAGTCAGGGCTGGGAATCACAGATCTTAAATGTAAGGGGCAGTGTGTCATCGCTTGCCGAGTTCTAGGGCCACACTGCCGTTGCAGACGCACGCGAGGGCTTCTGGGCAAATAAGGCTGAGGAAATAGGAAAAAGAAATTAATAAAAATCACAAGCAGGTGCTGGTGAAGTAAAAAAAAAAAGGGCAATAAATTCGACCGTGCCAACATTACCTTATTCTCTTTGTAAATGACCAGTAAACTTCTGGCATGTCTGACAACGGCAAACAAAAGCGCGACGATAACATACGAGCAGCGCTCTCCGCGCCCAATCAGGGAAGTTTTTTTGTTCTTTTTTTTTCAATTTCGGCTCGGCCCCGCCCGCGGCGTTTTTCCACCCAGCCGGACCCGCTCTCGTTTCTCATATCTTCGGAACGACCGCGCCCGGTGGGTCGCGCCTGTCTCCCGCACTCTGGCCGCGCCGGACCGCGGCGGGGCGCGGCGCGCACGCGGCGAAGCGAGCGACCGCGAGCGCACATCCCACCAAGAGTTAATCGACCGCTCGCACTGACGGCGTGCCGCCGCGGCGCCGCGTTTTCCTCCCGGTTATCACCTACCCTGCCGCTTGCGCAGGGCTGGCGTGGTGCTGCTGTAGCGTCCAGCTACCCGGAGGCTGAGGCAGGAGGATGGCTTGAGCCCAGGACTTTTGAGGTTGCTCGTGAGCTAGGCTGACGCACGGGACTTCTAGCCCGCGGCAACAGAGTGAGCTCTGTCTCCAAAACAAAAAAAAAAAAAAAAAAAAAAAAATCTGTTTTCCCTAAAATCCGAGTATTGGAAGATACTATGGAAGAGTCATAATAACACCCCCCCCACACACACACACACACAAGGAACAAACACTTCCAGTGTTGTCAACCCTCCAGGGAGGAGAAAGTTCAGGAAACTCTCTGCAGGTTTGTCTAGGATGCCCGGTGTCACGCTCACTGCAAAAGCTGACAAACAGAGCAGAAAGCTACAGAGCTGTCCCACTTAGGAGGTGTGAAAACCCTAAAATAAATTGGCAAATTAAATTCAGCAAGGTATTAAAAGAAAAATACTTCACAGCCAAGTAGCATTTACTTCTGGAATTCAGGAATAATTTGCTATTAGGAAATCTACTAATTTAAAACATTGTATTTATAAACTAAAGGAGGGAAAAAAAAAAAAAAAGGTTTTTGTGGGTGGATGCCAAACGGGTGTTTGAGAAAACTCACCATGCCTCCCAAACTAGGATAGAAGGAAGGTTCTTCCTAAGTTCTTATCTGAAGGTAGAAGGCGGCACTGGAGACCACAGCTAAAAATCAGGAACAAGATGAGCGTGTCTGCTGTCACGTGACCCAGCGCTGTTTTGGGAGTTCCGACAATGCAAGAAAACAGGGAAAAGAAATGAGATGCGGATTTTGAAAATGAGGTGCTTGAAATTCTCATCCTCTACTGGTGAAACCAATGGGAGCAGTGAGGAATGGGTGCCGCAGCTGGGTGCCAGAGCTATGGCTCTCTCCACCAGAAACACGCAGCTAGGGATTACAGTTTTCAAAAATTTTCAAAAATTTTCATTCATAATAGCCGTCACTGCTACAAAGTACTTAGGAATGAGTCTAGCAAGGAAGGAGTGAGCCTATCTGGAGGAAGACAATAAAATTTTACCTGAAGGGCATAAAACGAATTTAAATAAGTGGAGCAGCCACGTCACTAGATGGGGGGACAAGTAATGTAAAAATGTCATTTCTCTCCACGAAATTCCAATTAGAGTCCATGATGGGATGGGTGTTTTGGGTGAACTTAAATTTATGTGGCATAATTATTTACTGATTTTGAAAAAGTAATGCACTGTCGATCCTTGTGCATCTTTTAAAGATATTTTTGCACGGATGAGCAGAGTCACAAGGGTGTGTGTATCTGTTTTCTCTCTTTTTAAAAACTTAAAACAGCTGCATGTTATACCTACTGCTCTCTGTTCCTTCCTTTTGTCGCTTAGCCATGTGTGCCGGAGACTGTTCTGTGTCAGCACATAAAAGGCCTCTGTTGCGAACAGATTGATCTTAAAGTTCACACGGAAGGCCAAGCGCACAGGGATAGCCAAGGAGATTTTGAAAGGGAAAGGATAACGAAGGACGTTTTTGGTATGAGGCCCCAAAACGCAGTATAACTCCATCATCGTAAAGACAAAGTCAGACTGGGAGGAACACAGACCGGCAGATCCAAGGATGGCAAGTTCTCCAAGAGAACCTGGAGGAAATTGATTTCAGAACTTATTAACGGCCTTTGCACGCTACATAAATGTACAAAGCCGCGTCTTTAAGTCGCCAAATCTTTTTGGATCATGTGGCTAACTGAAGAGTAAATACAGAGAGCCCTGTGTCACTCTATGACAACTAAGTGTCAGGTCCAATGAGGATCCAAGAACACTGCGGGGGCATCAGGAGAACACGTAGGATCACGCTTGTCACCGTGGCGGGAGGAAGCTCTCCCTAAACATCGGGAGGACAGGGGAAGAGGACAGTGACAGGCTTGGTTATATAAAAACAGAAAAACGTACCTGTTGAAAAAGCACAACAAAGTTAAAAGACAAATGAAAATCGGGACAAACGTTCGAAATTACCCTTGGCGACACCCGTATCTCCTGTGTTAGTCTTCTGTCGCTTCATAGCAAATTGCCACACACTTACGGTCTTAAAACTCATCCCACCCCATGGGCGGGGCGCGGCGGCTCAGGCCTGTACCTAGCACTCTGGGAGGCCGAGGTGGGCGGATGGTTCGAGGTCAGGAAGTTCGAACATGCCTGAGGGGACCCCAGTCCTACGACAAATAGAAAGAAATTATTGGCACTAAAAATACATATACCCAAAAAAAAAAAATCAGCTGGGCATGGTGGCGCATGCCTGTAGTCCCAGCTACTCGGGAGGCTGAGGCAGGAGGATCGCTTGAGCCCAGGAGATTGAGGTTGTGTGAGCTAGCTGACGCCCAGGCACTCACTCTAGCCTGGGGCAACAGAGCGAGACTCTGTCTCAAATAAAAAAAAAAAAAAAAAAAAAAAAAAAACCAGCCGCCGATTATATGAGATCCGTTAGCTCACAGCTCTGCAGGGCAGAAGTCCTGTGGGGCGAGTCCGGGTTCTCTGCTCGGGACGTCCCAGGGCTGGAATCAGGTGTGGGCTGACTGAGTTCGCTCGGGGCCGCTCCGGGGAAAATCCTCTTCCAGGCTCATTCACGTGGTCCACAGAGTCACGTCTCTGGTGCCTGCTGGGCCTGAGGTCCCTGCTTCCTGCTGGCAGCCGGGGGGGGCCTCTCAGTGCCCAGGGACCACCCCCATTCCCTGCCGTGGGGACCCCTCCATCTTCAAGCCACCAACGGAGGATTTCTCCCTGGTGGGATCCCTCCCCCCCTTGGAATGTGCCTGATCCCCCCTTTGCCACCAGCTGGAGAAAACGCTCTGGTTTGAAAGGGCTCCGCGCTGAGGTCAGACCCACCGGCCATCTCCCTCCGGCCACCGGACATGGCACAACCGGGGAGTAACGCCAGGGGGCAAAGGTCGGGGAGGCTTTTGGGAGGCTCCGCCCACCCTGTTTTGTTGTATGTCCCAGCGGAAGAGTGGCCAGGGTGGGAGCAAGAAATCCAGAGGGGGAAGAAGAGCCCTGGCCACCAAACTGAGCGTTGGTTTGCCTTCCCCGGGGGTTAAAGGAAGGACAGGTACAAAGGATAGTTGAGACGCCAGCTTTTGGTCACTCGCTCGGCCAGCAAAGAAGACAGGCGTGGACCTTGGTGCTCTCGAGGAGCGCGGACCGCACCCCCGCACGGCGCGGCCCCCAGACCAGGGGGCTTAGACGGCAGGCGTTTGTTCCCTGGCAGTTGGAGAGACTGCAAGTCCAGAGTTCCCGAGGCCTCTGTCCGCGGCTCGCAGACGCCGCCTTCGCCCGTGTCCTCACGTGATCACACACGCCTCCGTGCACGTCTGTGGTCCTGCACCTCCTCTTTTTTTTTTTTTTTGAGACAGAGTCTCACTCTGGTTGCCCAGGCTAGAGGAGTGCCGTGGCGTCAGCCTAGCTCACAGCAACCTCAAACTCCTGGGCTCAAGCGATCCCTGCCTCAGCTCCGAGTAGCTGGCGACTACAGGCATCGCGCCGCCAGCCGGTCTAATTTTTTTTTTTTATATACTATGTTAGTTGGCCCAATTCGATTTCTTTTTCTATTTATCAGCGTAGAGACAGGGTGCTCGCCTCTTGCCTCAGGCTGGTTTCAACTCCTGACTCGACGCGCATCCTCCCACCTCGGCCGTCCCAGAGGCTGCTAGGATTACAGGCCGTGAGCCACCGCGCCCGGCCCTGACCCTCCCTCTTCTTACAAAGACACCGGTCCTACTGCGTTAGGGCCCAGCTGATGATCACTTTAACCACCTCTTTATTTATGTAATTTCTTTTCTTTTTGTTTCCTTTTTCTTAGTTCTCAAGTCCT